TTGAAGAACACTATATCGAAACCCATAATAAGGAAGCCTAAAGCCCTAGAAAGGTAGGCCTTTTCGGTTACAGGTAGGCCTAAACCCTAAACCCTAAACCCTAAACCCTAAACCCTTTAACTTAGACCTTGTCGGGTTTAGGCGTGTGGGTCTTCAACCCTGGGCCTCGCACTACCTCCGTCTGGGAAACTTCTGGCGCCCAGGCTCGGGGTTTAGGGTTTACAGGTTTCAGAGTGTAGGGTTTAAGGGTTTAGGCTTTGGGGTTTAGGGTTTAGGGTTAACTCTGAACCCTAGCTCCCAAGAGGCTCATTCCCCCCACGGCCAGGAACGAAAAAGAAGAACTTCCGAGCCGGGGAGCGACTAAACCCAAACCGAACCCCTAGGCCTCAAACCGAAACCCTCGCACTCAAAATACTAAAGCCCCCAGAACCCAAGAAAACATCCACAAGCCCCCCAACCAACCAAAAACTGAACCTCAAACACTGAAGTCGCTAAAGCCCCCAAAACCCCTGAGACATCCACAAACCCCCCAAACCCAAGAGTCGAACCTCGGAGGACCCTGTACTAAGCCTACAACCCAAGCCCCCAGACTCGAAGGCCCACGGCGCCTTGGAACCCTATACTTACCTTTGGTTAGTAGGGAATGGAGGAATGGGAACTATTATAAGTACCATTACTACCATTCTTCCATTCCCTACTAACCAAAGGTAGGTATAAACCAGCCATAGGGAGTAGTTCTCTGAAGTGGGGTCCCCTTTAGGCTTTAGGGTTTAGGGTTTCGGATTTAGGCTTTAGGGTTTAGGGTTTAGGGTTTTTAGGCTCCTGTTTATATTGGTGCCGTACTATCTTGGGGACCTAAAAGGGGCCTAATTTAGAGAACTAGCCTGATAATGCCCTTACAAAAACCCTATAGAAACCCCCCTATAGATCCCTTTAAGGAACCCTAAACTACCCATATGTTGAAACATATCTGAGATCACCTGCTTTGACAGGTCCCCGTCCTTGACCTTGGCTGGGTCGCTGGGAAGGAATTGCGTGCCCAGCTTGTAGTCGCCTGAAGAAACCACGGTAGTGTCTTAAATTTCGGTGGCCCTAAACCCTAAACCCTAAACCCTAACCCGTAAACCCCTAAACCCTCAACCCCTAAACCCTAAACCCTATTCCTGGGTTGTTGAAGAAGATTTTAAGGGTCGCCCTTCTTGAATCTACGGGAAAACCCAGCTCAAGATCCGACTCTGCCTGGGCTGAAGGATCTTGAGCTTTGGGGCTTCAGGGCTTAGGGTGTCGGGTTTAAGGGATTAGGGCTTTAGTGGTTTTAGGGGGTTTTGGGGGAGTTTTTGGCCTCAACTCAAGCGTCTTCAAAACGCCACACCCAACACCCTAAACGCCCCGCACTGAGCTCTGCACCCTAAACCCTAAACCCTTAAACCCTTAAACCCTTAAACCCTAAACCCTAAACCCTTAAACCCTCCCTTAAACCCTAAACCCTTAAACCCTTAAACCCTCCCTGAAACCCTAAACCCTTAAACCCTCCCTTAAACCCTTAAACCCTAAACCCTTAAGCCCTAAACCCCTAAACCCTTAAACCTTTAAACCCTAACCCCCAAACCCCACACCCTGAAGCCCAAGAGCTCAAAAAAGGCGCCCTGTGAATCGAACTTTTCAGGCCGGGCCTGCAGACTCGAGCGTCAGGCCCGGCTTGTTGGAAACGTTGCAGGACTGAGAGGAGATTAGGGTTTAGGGTTTAGGGCAGGCTTTGGGATTTTGGGGCCTAGGCCTTCCCTTTATTTTAGTTTTGTTTTTGTGGCCCCATGGAAGGTTCTCGGCTTAGGCCTTCCTTTTTCTTAATTTTTTGGGGGCCCTGTGGAAGGTTTTTCGAATTCACTTTGAAGGTTTATGGGTCTGGAGTTGCAGGTTTAGGGTTTTGGTGGCTGAGGCTCGGAGCAAGGGAAAGGACCTTGGGCAGTGGGCCTACGCCTTCGGCCCCCATTGCTTGCAGGGCTGCAGATGCGTTGGGCTGCAGGCTTGTTCAGCATCGAGGGGCCTAGGGCATTATGCCATCAAGACTGCTACGCTGTTCGGCCAAACTTAGCCACCAAGCCTTTCAATAGCCACGGTGATCAGCGAGTGATCAGCCAGACATGGCATCATGGCTTACGCCGGATTTTGGCATTGCAATGTCGCACCTCAGGATATGCATCTTCAAGCCACTGCACTATACTCAGCAGCACCTGAATCAAAAGACCGATGGCATTTGCCCCAAAGACCACATCCCCGTCCAGGTGATCCAAGTCGAGAGCCTACACAAATCAACATCTATCAGCACCATCCGTGCAGAAGGCTTGCCGAGCTGAGAGGGGCTTAGGTTTAGGGTCTGGGGTTTCGGAGCCTTGGCAAAGGTGGTGAGCATCTCGATGAAACCGCAGAAAGCGAAGACCTGCAAGAGATCCCGCATCCCGCCAGCCCAGGGGGGCGTTGACGTTTCATGTTCCGGGGGTTTGGAAAAGTCATATGGTGCAGGGCCCAGAGAGTTTAGGGAAGTGGGGTTACACACAAATTTAGATTCAAAAGAGTAATGGCAACAGCAATAGTAATGGTAAGGGGAATAGTTGTGGCAAGAGCAATAGGTTTAGTAATGATGCGCGAGCAGTAGCAATAGTAATCGTAATCGAAATAGCAGTGGTGATAGTAAAAACAGACAGCTGTGACACCTGCCGACTCCGGCTTGCTCATGTGAGTTGCTCTTGCTGGAAACCGGCAGCCAATCCCTGGGGCCTAGGGCTTGGGCCTTTAGGGTTTCGGATGTAGGCTGCAGGGTTGTAGAGTTGTAGGGTTTTAGGTTTAAGCTGCCATGCTCAGGCCGCCGACACCATCAAACTCGATCAGTCTAGGGCAAGCCCAAAGACATTGATGGCAGGATTGGCGACAGAGGTTTATCAATCTGGCCGCGCAGACGCCCCTCCCAGCATCATCAGAGTCCAAAAGTAGCTTCGAAGCCTGACCCCAAATGAATTCTGGCTTTCGCTGGGGCCACGTGGCGTGAACATCATCAGCATCATGTGGGCCGTTGGTGGGACGATACAGAGCGATGTAGGCGGGACGGCGTTTGCCAAGCAACTCGGCAGGCATCATGAGCATCATTTGGGGAGTTGGTCGGGAAAGCACCGCGATAAAGCGTGACGTGGGCACGGACCGAAAATAACTCAAGCAGCGATGCATCACGGCGTGGGCATCTGCCAAGAGAGCTCTGAGGCTTGCTGGACGGCTTTTGCCGAGCAACTTGGGCCGGCATCATGAGCATCATTTGGGCAGTTGGTGGGAAAAGGCCAGAGATAAGCTGCGATGTTGGGCGGAAAGGCTACCGCAATCTAGCCAAGACATCTAGGCTTTGCTGGCCGGCTTTGCCGGGCAACTTGGATTTGAGCCGTTTATTGCGGGGGACTGCCGCAATAAAGCCCGAATAGCTGCTGGATGGCTTTTGCCGAGCAACTTGGGCCAGCATCATCAGCATGATTTGGACCGTTTTGGTGGAGCGAACGCCGCGAAAAAGTGTGACGTGGGCAAGGGCCAAGAAAGCTTAGACATCTTAGGGTTGCTGGACAGCCCAGCATCATGGGCACCCTTTGCACAGTTGCTGGGGCAAGGGGTCAGGAGGGGCATCTAGCGGTTGCTTTGTCGAGCAACTCGGCCAGCATCATGAGCATCATTTGGGCCTCTGGTGGAGGGAACGCTGCGAAAAAGTGCGATGTGGGCAAGGGCCAACAAAGCTAAAACATCCAAGGGCTGCTGGACGGCTTTTGTGGAGCAACTTGAGCTAGCATCATGAGCATCATGCGGGCCACCAAGATAGCGAATCAAGCGGTTGCTGGATTGGCTTGCCAAGCAACTTACATGGGAACTGGGCCAGCGGCTTTGGCAGACTCACTGCTGCGTTTGAAGCGAGACGTCGGAGGCCAAGCTAGCGCCAAAACTCTAGCCGACTTTGAATGTGATGTTTTTGAAGATTCCCTGAATCCTTTTCTGGGAAAAGGTAGGGCATCAGCATGAGCATCATCCTGGACAATTTCGAGCCCTTGTGGGTGAGAATTCGGAGACGCAAGCGCTGAATAGAGACCGGATGAAGATCATGATGCTGGACTCCGATGGCCAACATGTCCCACGCAGATCCCGCCAAAGCACTCTAAACTCTAAACGATGCACGGCACATGATGCTCCCCGCACGTGCGTGATGCGCGTCATTCGTGATGCGCTGTGCTGGTGAAGGCGGTGATAGGGCCGGCCATGCCGCAAGGCCATACATTTAACTACAAGCGCTGGGGGTCAAGGGGCACTTTGGACCATCGGTGCAAACTCAGCGAACTCCTCACCTTTGAGGATCACAGGAAGGATACCGAATCATCGCGTGCCCAACCCTTAAAGCCCCCCTAACCCCCACACCCCTAGGACCCTAAGCCCTATACCTTCAACCCCCCACCTGGAAGAGGGGGCCCTGCTGTCTGTCGGTGCCAAAGAAGTCCTGCACGGAACGATTTTTTTAAGAGCCGGCGAAGAGTTGCTAGAAGGGTTGCCTTAAGGGCTACTAAGCTACTATGGCGTTTTACCATAAGCGGTACTCTACGGGCTACTGGGGGTTCCGGCTGCGGACATACGCTTGTTGGCCGAAGTGCTCGAAGCGCTGAAGGCTTTTCGGGGTTTTTGGGCTTAAGGTTTCAATTATGGCATTGAGTGTGGGGCTTCTTAGTCTAGGAAGAAGGTTCAGGAGAGTAGTGTTCAGTTTTGAAGTGCAGAGGCTTTCCCACAAGGCGTCGCAGCCCAATGCCCCAAACCCAAAGTCGCTGTTATCCTCCGCCGTCATCAGGAACTTCAAGCTAACGACTGTCAAGAATCTAAACAGTAAACCCCAGCTCCGAAAAACCCACCCTAACGCCTAATCCCTAAAGCCTACTTCTATCACCACTACTGCTTAACATCCCTCGTTGTTGAGCACGCAAGACCAGGTCCTCTGCGTTGACAAGGAACGGAAAGGGTGGGTTGCCCACGCAGGCGTTGTGTGCATCCACAACGGTTTTCGCAGCGTAGCATGCATCTGGACCTAGCAGGGCTTGGGTGAGTTTATGTTTTTTTTTGGGGGGGGTCGTGGAAAGGCCCTTCCGAAAGTTAGAGAGTTAGGCTGTCGGACCTAAGCATATTCAACCGACTTTGGCATGGACGACCATGATGGCATGAACAAGGTCCTTGCCTAGTCTATTTATTTATATATATATATAACACGGATGTGCGTGTCACTGACTCTACTACAACAACCAGCAATGTTAGGAAGAACCAACCGTATCGAGATCAACAATGATGACAAAGCAAAGAAATGTCATCACGACAGCAGAAATGACAAACGAAACAATAGGGGTAGTTGTGGTGGAATAATTGCAGCACAAAGTACATGTGATGGCAATAACGGTAGTTGTTCAGCAGGCTTAAACGGCGGTCACAGCTGGTAGTGGTGTGGTAGAAAGAGCAGTAGCGGCTGCAGCAGCAGCAGCAGCAGAGCAGCTCGAGCAGCAGAAGTGGTAGTGGTGGTTGTAGTAGTCGTCGTCGCCGCCGCACCAGCAGCAGCAGCAGCAGCAGCAGAGGGATATATATATATATACCCGCGCGTGAACCCACGGCGGTCACTGGGCCTGGGATTCGAGCGAACTCCGGAACGACGAGGCCAACAAAGGCGAGCATCGCAATGCGGCCATGCTTCCTGGGATCTTAGGCTTCATGTGGCTTCTGAGTTACAGTTCAAGGAAACTACAGGTGGGGAGTTTAGGGTATGTAGGGCTTCTATAAGGCTTCTACAAGGTATATAGACCTTCTGGCTAATATAACGGTAACTACCCACCTGAAAATGTCCTAGACAGAGTGGGAGGCTGGGAGGGCGCAAAAATCGCACAGACTGGCAGAAGATGCTAGAATCCCAGCAAGATCTGAATTGACGCTGCGCCTCCACCCTAAACCCTAGACCCCAAATTTGCCAAACCCAAAACCCCAAACCCCCAAACCCCAAACCCCAACCCCCCAAACCCCAAAACCCTAAAACCCCCAACCCCCCAAAACCCCCATTGCGAGCAAGCGACAGCTCTGCCTCGGGTCTTGTCCGGCTTTGGTGGCGGGGGTTTTCGCTTTAGAGGGCTTTTAGGATCTAAGGGATTCTGGAAGGGTTTTGGGCTTAGGGTTTACGGGTTCAGGATTTAGGGGTTTAGGGTTTAGGGCTTAGGGTTTAGGGTTTAGTGGTTTAGTTGTTTTGGGGGTTTTGCGTTCAGGGCCCTTTGGGCATCCCGATGTATCTCTCTGGCTCTTACGTTTTTTTTGGCCAGCTAACAATCGGCGATGGGAGCTCCATACCGGCTCTTCGCAGGCTTCCGGGGCTCGAGCTACTCTCAGGGACCACGGATTTGAGATTGAGGTTTAAAGAAATAGGGTTGGAGATCGGGGTTTAGGGGTTGAGGGCTCTGGTTACTAGGATCTCCCTGATCAAACCCCCCACCCTGAGTCCAGACCCGACTTTGCACCAGGTCTTTGATTGAACTCTTCAGGTTTCGGTGTCTGCGAGCTCCTATAGTTCCTCTCCTCCTCCCCCGCCTCTTCGAGAATAGAGTCAAAGTGCAAAACCGCGCAAGGAACGGAGTAGGGTCTGAAAGGCTCCATGCAAAGAGGCGAAAGCTTGTGGTTCGTGGTGGCCTATCTGTGTGGACTCAATATGTAGCGCGCAAGCTAAATTCAAGATTTTGGGACGTAGGTTCTGGCCGTAATTCAACATCCTTTTTGTCGTTGCGCGATAAGGAAAGCACTCCACGCCGGCCGACACCGAAACTCGCTATCCTCCAGAGGGCCCTCCCAGCGAGACCCTTCTGCAAAATCTCGGATTCCTCACTCCTGCATGCTCCACGGCCACTCAAGTCGAAAATTCACCACTCTTGAGTGCAACACAGCGAACCCGGCCACAATTCCGGGCTTGCCCGCAGAAGCCTACGGTAATCCACCATACTATACTGTACTATACTTTATGATACTATCCTGCACGATACTACACCATACTATAGCCCCTCATACTCAGCAACCGCAAGTCCGTCGCCTCACGGAACCAAGGGAGGTATTTCTCGCACTTCACCGACAAGCCCAGCGGGTCAAAGTTGAAATCCTCACAGAAGTGGGACAGAGGAGTCCCAGGACAGAGGACCAAGCCCCAGAAACTCCCGAAACCCTTAAACTTAAATCCCCAAAAAACCCTAAACCCTGAAACCCTTAATCCTAAGCCCCCAACCCGAAACTCCCAACCGTCCCCCAGCCACCCCGAAACCCCTAAACCCTTTCCCCTAAACCCCTAAACCGTAAACCCCTACTCCCTGAACCCTGAAGCCCTACACCCCCATACACCCCTAAACCCTGAAACACCTGCACCCCATACACCCTCAACCCTGAACCCCTACATCCTCCATACACCCCCTACACCCCTAAACCCCCTCAACGCCGAAAGGCCAGAAACCCCGAATCCCTACACCCTAAACCCTGAACCCCTACACCCCCTACACTCCTAAACCCCTAAACACCTAAAGGCCAGAAACCCCCGAAAACCCGAGATCTCTCCCCGTTCAGGGACAGGCCTGGCCCGCGAAGGCAGACTCGTTGCCGATGAGGCCCCCGGCGAAAGGCTTCTCGCTCGTGGTGCCCGTGGCCTTGCGGGAGGTCCAGAAGCGGATTTGGGTTTAGGGCTTAGGGCATTTAGGGTTTAGGTGCCCGTGGCCTTGCGGCTTCTTTTGGGGGGCGATTTTGGGGGCGATTTTGTTGGGTTCCTTTAATAGGGTCTGTAGGGGTTAGGGGGTTCCTGTAAGGGTTCCTTTAGGGGTCTTTTTACAAAGTAATATGGGCCGTGGGGTTTAGAGCTCGGGGTGCAGGGCCCTGAGCGTCCCCCTTTTTAAACTTGCCGAGGTTTTCGGCCCTCTCTCACTCACCCTAAGCCCCTCGAGCCTCTAAGCCCACCCAGTCTCTGGCCCCCTAAATTACTAATTCCTAAATCCTAAACCCCCCCCTTAAACCTTGAACCCTAAATCCTAAACCCTAAAACCACCCTAAAGCCTAAACCCTAAAAAAACCCTAAAACCCTGCAAACCCTTAAACCCCTTAAACCCCTAGAACTGAACCCTAAACCCTAAAACCCCCTAAAACCGCCTAAAACCCTAAACCCCCAAAAACTCTAAAACCCCTTAAACCCTAAAGCCCTAAACCCTAAACCCCCTAAGCCCTAAACCCCCCAAACCTAAACCCTAAAAAACCCTAAAACCCCCTAAACCCTAAAGCTCTAAACCCCCTTAAACCCCCTTAAACCCCCAAACACCCAAAAACCCCAAAAACCCCTAAACCCTAAACCCCCTTCAACCCTAGCTCCCAAACCCTAAAAAACCCAAAAACCCCCTTACACCCTCTAAAACCCCCCTAAAAAGCCCGCCTCTGCCATGCGGGCAATGATCCCTCCGCGCCCGGCGCGGCGAGCCGAGGATCCCATGGCCAAAGCCTGGGCTCTTTATTTTGACATTGCCATAATATGAAGGGTTTAGGTTTTAAGGGGTTTAGGTTTTAAGGGGTTTAGGGTTTAGGGTTTGGGGTTTAGGGGGTTTAGGGGGTTTAGGGGGTTTAGGGGGTTTAGGTTTAGGGCTCCCTAAACCATATAATGTACCAAAGATCCCTATTAGGGGTAACTTAAAGTTAAATCCCTTTAACAAGGACCCTATAGATCCCGTTTAATGCAAATTACCATGACAAGGAAACCCTGTAGATCCCGATTATGGTTGCTTGAAACAAAGTCCCTTACCCAAAGGCTCCTTAGTAGTTCCTTTTTGGGAGTTGGTATTTAGGATCCTACAAGGTAGTCCCAAAAAAGGAACTACTGAGGAGCCTATGAGTAACAAGAGCCCAGGAGCGGCAGTGGCCACCGCCGTGGCCGCAGCGGCCTACGGGTTCGCTCCCCTTTTCTATGGAGGTGTTGGGGTTTTTGGGTTTAGGGTTTACGGAATTTGGGGTTTTGGGATTTGGGGGCTTAGGGTTGGGGTTTAGGGTTTTGGGTTTTTTGGTTTAGGGTGTACAGGGTTTAGGGGTTTGGGGTTCAGGAGTTTTCCCCGCTTGGGGCTTAGGGTTTAGGGTTCATCTAGGGAGTTTTCTTCGGGGCTTTTTCGGGTGGTTTTGGAAAGCCTTGAACGCCCATCTAGGTTTGGGATCTTTTGTAAGGTGGGTTCTCTAGGAGCTGTAGCTGTTCGGGCATTCTTCTGGGCTACTTTTACATACGCTTTTTTACTCTTCATCATATCATACTACACAACCTATCGTATATTGCCTGGTACAAATGTATGTACGTATATAGCAATTTTGCTTTGAGGGCTTAAGGCGTGGCAGCATGGGGACTTAGAAGGTATCGGCACCGCAGCTACACAATTCTGACATGAGATCTTTAGCTACGTCGGATATGTAGAGACACACGTATCATACGTGGGCTTCGGGGTGCAGGATGCGGGAGCATAATGACAACCCTAAACCCTAAACCCCTAACAAAATGTATCACAGTGCCTGCACTCCGCTGACTCCCTCGCGGGACGGCGCTGCCGTGCCCCTGAGCGAAGGTGCGGCGGCGGGCGCCCCGGGGGCCACGAAGGCCTCTGCTGAGGCTGGGGGGGGTTCGGGCTCCTTTAAGGGGTCGCTATGAAGTCCACAAAGGGGGTTCGAGTTAGGGTTAGGGGCCCGAAAAGAGTAGGGTTTTAGGGTCTAGGGTTTACTCTCAGGCAACAACATCGTAAAGGCCTTGAGGCTTCGTCCTCAGCCGGATTGGCTGATCGAAGGCTAGTCATTGAAGGGGTCAGGCTGCGCCCGAAAGCAAAGCGGAAACCCCCAACCTAGAGCCACCTAGATTCACAATTTGTAACAAAGGTCGGGGGATCTGCAACACACCGACACCAAGTCCCAAGACTCGCAAACACCCCAAACAACCCTGCACCCCAAAACCCCGAACCCTAAACCCTAGGCCCTAAACCCGAAACCCAAACAACCCTATAAAGCCCCCTAAAACCCTGAACCCTAAAGCCCCAAACTCGACGCCCACGTCCTTCTGCCCAAAGCCTGAAACCCTCAAAAGCCCGGCCCTCTCGAACAAAATGAGGGTCGTTCTCTAAATCAGGGTCCCTTTGTAGGGTTCCTTAAAGGGATCTATAAGGGCTTCAATAGGAGTACCATAGGGGCAATTCTCTAAATCAAGCCTACGGTTCGTTAAAGGGATCTATACGTGTTTCTATAAGGCTTCTATAAGGGTAACATGGCTCTCTAAACTACGGTCCCTTATAAAAATTACCCCCGAAAGAGACCCTAATTTTGAGAACTATCCAAGAGACACTGCACTCTACACGCTAATGTGAGGGGTGCTTAAAGGGCCTTTTTCGTCGCCTCCGCTCCAAAGCCCATGCGAAGGTTTAGGGTTTAGCGCGCACGGTTTGGAATCTAGGTTCTAGCGCTTCGGCTTAGGGTTGTAGGTTGCAGGGTTTCTTCGGGTTGTGCGTGTGGGGTTTAGGGTCATCGCAAACGCTTCTTTAAGGGATCCAAGAGAATTCCACAAGAAGTCGACTGATGCAAGTTCTTATACTATCTCGTGTAAAACAGCCTTGCCCCTAGACCCTGAACTCTAAACCCGAAAACCTAGACCCTAAACCCTGAACCGAAA